AGAGCTGTCTGCCTCTCACCACGAGGGAACTGCCTAACAGATGGATCTGGATGGGCAAAAAGCCATAGGAGTGAAGGGTTGCCCAACAGGCAGCCAGCTGGTGCCGTATCACCACGCACGGTGCTGGGGCAGGAGGAACCTGTTCCCTGGTGCTGAGTGGGATGGAGAAGCAGAGGGCAAAGGCTGTCCTGCCCCATCCCTGTGCCCGTGGGGCTATGGAGCCCAGCGGTCCCAGAGCTGTGGGAGATGCTGCCCTGTGGTGGGGCGCCGGGTGCTGCTGATGCAGGAGGGGCTGCTTCGTGTGCATTCCTGCGTTCCTCCACCAACCCTGCTGCCTGTGCTACCTTGTAAAGCACAAAAGAATAATGAGAGGAGCTCGGGTGACTTAGTGCAGGCGCCGGGAGAGAAATACCAAGGCCTTAGATGGAAACATTCCCCTTGACAGCTTGCCTGGAGACTCCCTCCGTTTTCTTTTTTCCACCCCCCTGAAATTCCTCTGCTCTGTGTCCTGCAGCTGCGGGGAAGCCCCATTGCGTGGGCACATTCCTGAGCCCCCAGCACAGGGCTCCTGGTCCTGCATGGATGTGCCATGCAGGATCCCCACTCTGGGCATGGAGGATTTTGGGGAGCTGTGGTGGTGTCCGAGTGTGGTGCGCGCTGCTGCGGTGCGCCTGCTGCTCTTTTGCAAGGGCTGATTGCTGCCTTGGGCGTGTGGAAAAAAGTTTTCCTACCTTAGTTAACAAGAGGCAGTACAGGCATGAAGTGAGCAACGTTAATTAGTGGGTTGCTGGCAGCTGCTGGCTCCCTGTGGAGTGATGTGCAAGGTGAGCTGCCCTTCATCTGCGCTGGTCCTCCTTTCATCTCAGTGCAGTCCACCCCTGCTTCCCTCAGCCCTGTGGTGGGGGGAGGAAAAGGAAGATGTGTAGTGGTGTGGTGTTGTGGGCATGGGGTGCTGCTGCTGTGCCTGCTGGTGCCATGGCCGTACAGCGTGTGTCTCTGTGGGGTGGCTGCTGCCCGTCTTCCATCTCCACAAGTGTGGGTTTTGTGGGTGTATTGGCAGGGATGCAGTGGTTGGAGATGGCTCATCCTGGGCTGCTTCAGATGTGGGAGGGCAGTGGGGCACTGTGTAGCTCCAGCCGCACGGTGCCATGGGGATGCAGCAGGGTGACAGCTCTGAGGGCTGTGAGCCCTGCCCTGTGCTTGCAGGCAATGTCTGTGTGCTGGGTGCTGCACGTGCTGCTGGCAGCCCTGAGCGTGGGGCAGCCCAGGTTGGAGCGGCTCAGAGCCCCTCCTGACCCTGCAGCTTGTGTTCCAAGTGGTGGCAGCCCTGTGCTACTGGAGTTGCTGTGGTGCAGTGGCAGTCTCTGTGCGGAGGCTCCTGCTCAGCTGTACTGCTGGGCTGGCTGCTTCCTGCAGCTGAGCCCCTCATGCCGTGCTCAGTGCCCCTCTCTTGCAAGATGAAGGCTGGGAGGTTCTTCCCAACTGTGAAGGAAAGAAAGGCACTTGCCAACTTGTTAGAGTCTGCACTGGACTTTGACTCTTGTGCTTTGCTCAGTGCTGGAGCTGTCCTCATGCCACACGCCTCAGCTCCCAGCGAGTCAGGTGGCTGTCAGTGGCACTCAGGGTTTCCCCATGCAGAAATACTGCATGGTGCTGTCACCTCCTTGGGGCTCTGGCAGCCCCAAACCAAAGCAGCACCAAAGGATGCAAAGGCAGCAGATGATGCTGCAGCTGGGGGCAGAGGTGAGAAGGTGACGTCCTGTGGGCAGTGGCCCTTTGGGAGCCATGCACTGCCCCTATGGAGTGTGTGGTTCACAGCTGTGAGCTGCAAACTGCTTCTGTGCTTATTTTTTTTTTTTTTCAATTGCATGAGTTAACATGCCCTGGGGCTGGCGTCCCAGCACGGGAGGGGTTAAAGCACAGTGAGGGGCAGGCAGCCCATGGGTGTTGCTGGGAACCAGGAGTGGAGCTGCTGCCATCTGCACATTGCAGTTTGGTGAGTGTGCAGGGAGGAGCCCGGGGCTCCCTTGCTCTGGGGTCGGGGGGGATTGGGGACTGCGTGGGGTGTGGATCATCCGCTTGCAGCACTCCATCCTCGCTGAGGGGCTGAAGCCCAGGGCGCTGATCCCTCCTCCCCTCTCATCGCAGTGGATGTGGCTCCGTGGGGGTCTGCGCTGGGGGAACCATTGTGCTCTCTCATTGGATGCTTTTTCATTTTTTTTTTTTCCTTTTTTCTCCCGATTTGGCAATGTAAACAGCATCCCTGCCGCAGCTTTACTTTGACTTTTCCATGGCAACCTCCAGGAGCAGTTTTTTTAGCCCCTGTTGCTGAAGCCGGGGAAGGGATGGCCCTCAGCAGGGCTGGGACAGGGCAGCTGCAGGGGTCAGGGGTGGGGAGGGTTGGGGGCGAGGAGCTCCATGACTGGGGCCTGTGTCTGCTTAGGGGGCTGTATCCTGCGTGCCCCAACTGAGGCTTGTTCTCCTTGCTGTGGCTGGGAGATGCTCAGGGCTTTCTCGTGCTAAATGCAGGAAGATGCTGAGCCAGAGTGCTGATTTCCCCATCTGTCATGGGTAAAGGAACAGCTGGGCTGGGTTGGCTGCTGGGTGCAGTGCTGGGCTGGCTTTGTGTTCGCTGTCTGTCTGCTTTCTCCAAGCAGAGGTGAGGAGGGTTTGCATTAAAGCACAGCAGAGGACACAGGAAGCACTGCTGTTGCTGTCCCAGGAGCATGTGGTGGCATCTGGCAGCATGGGAATGGGGATCTCCATGCAGGTCTGCATCCCTGCTGCCTGAGCAGCAGCTGCAGGTTGTGTTGTGCCGGGGCTGCAGTGCTGCTGGCATTGCAGGCATAGCTCTGGTGCCTTGGCATGAAGGAGTTGTGTGGGAAATGTCCAGCCGGTGTCATGCAGCCAGTTTTTGTTCCTGCGTGGCTTTGCATCCTTAGGGAAGAAGCTGTGAGCCCTGGGCGCTTGCACTGCTTGTGCCACGGAGAAGCTGTGTGATTGTGGGGCTGCTCCGGTGCCCATGGACACAGTCTGCATCCTGCAGCCATGTTCCTCTCCCTGCTGCCCTCTTTCCTTTCCCCACATCTGACAGCAGATGGGTTCCTGCCCTTGTGCCAGTGGCTGCTTTCTGCCTGGTGCCTCGCTGTGTGCTGAGGCTGTGCTGGCATGCAGCCGCTCTCCCAGCCAGGACGGAGGTGTAATGCAGCCGCTTATTATTCCGGGCAGGTTTGTCTGCAGCACTGCATCGGATCCACGGCTGCCTCCTCTCTGCTGCCTGCATGCTCGCTCCTCGGCTCTGTTCCTGGGTGTCCTTCCTGCTGCCGGCTTCTGGTCTGGGAACACTGCTCAGGAGGTGACACCATGCTGCTGGTCTGGGCTCCCCAGCTGTGTGCTCCTGCCAGCACTGTGTTCACTTGCTCTGCAGGATGCAGGCACCCAACGCCTTGTCTTCCAGCAGAGGAGACAGCACTCCTTCATCTCCAGCACCTGGATGCTCTGGAAACTCATTACAGAGTGATGGGCAGCCCTGAGTGCTGCTGGAGTCATTAGGAACTCATTAGAGTGTTGGCTTCTGGGGAAGCCCTAGTCCTGGCCAAGGTCTTCCTTTATTCCTGACCGCCGGAGTGAGTCCATGGGGCTGGTATTACTGCTGGGACTGAGCGCCTGTGGGCTCCTTCAGGGGGTAATTAAAAGTTAGGCACTGCAATATGAATTACCTGCCCTTCCTTCACCCTCTCAGCTATGGGGTGCTGGTGCTTCAGTTTTTGTCCTTCTATGGGGTGCAGAAGGCAGAACCACAGCACCCGTGCAGCAGTGGTGACCCCACACAGCCATGCCTTTGCATGGGACTCTTCATTGGTGTGGCATTGCAGGCTGGTTGGTGCCTACTGATAGCTTTGCAGTTGCCGGGGCAGGGGTTGGGGTCAGGCCATGGGGCAGCAAGAGGGGGGCTGCTTTCTGCAGGTCCTGCTGCCTCGGGTGGGTGCCAAACTGCTGTGATTGGGCTGAGTTAGGTGTGAGGATGGTGCTGAGATGTCCAGGGCTGCCCTGGTGGATTTGCTAAGGGCTGTGCATGTCTGTGTGCTTGCACTGATTTTATTTTATTTTTTTCCCCTCTGCTGGGCTTTGGCTGCATGTTCTGAGCCTCTGCGTGCTCATACAAGAGCACATACCTCTTTTATTACTCCTCTTTAAGAAGAGGCTTTATTGTCCTTCTGCAGAGCCTCTCCTGCAGGGTTGGGGTTAGGGTTAGCATCCCTTGTGCTGGAGCTGTGTGCTGGAGCTGAGCAGGGGAGCAGAGCCAGAGGGTGTCTTTTTGGGGGAGAAGGTCCTTCTTTCCCCTGGCTCTTGCTGTGCTGCTATCTGCTCCATCTCCCAGGCTGCCACCAGTGTTGCTCTTTCCTGCTCCAGATGCCAGGGTAGGGGATGCTGTGCCCAGGAGAGGTTGCTGCCTGGATTCTGCCCTTGCTGCAGGACTCAGCCATTGTCTGTCCAGCAGCATTTGGGGGCTTTGAGAGATGTCCTTAATGCACCAACTTCTGTGCTAGAGAGATGGGGGAGTTTCTGTCATTTCCTGTCAACTCTTACTAGCAATCAGAAACCAGCTTGGCGCTGTGAGCCCCCTCCTGTCAGACACCTGGGATGCTTTCTGTACTTGCTCTGACCAGGCGCTCCTGCCGGGGGACCGCAGTGTAGGGAGGAAACAGCTGCTTTCCACTGCTGAGATGTATTTTTAAATCCAGCTCTTTCTGGGCTGCCCAGCTGCGGGCTGAGTGGAGAACCACCTGGCTGCCCTTCCTGCCCCCAGCCCTGCTCAACACAGAGTTTTGCTCAAATAAAGCCAAACCCTGATGTTCTTTGGGGCCGGGAGAGCAAGCGTGGCTGGTGCATGTCCCCAAACCCCACCACTTCCTATTTCCATCTGCCATCCCCACAGTGCGTGTTTCTTCACAGCCCTCCCCATGACCATCTCCTCATTTTGCCATCTTTTTCCGCAGCTCCAGTTGCTGTGGTATCCAGGGAGCCCTCCTCCTCCGGCAGGAGATGCACGCCGGCCGTTGCTAAGGTTGCCTCCGCGGTAACATGCACATCCTGTTTACACCTTCATCCGGAGGACTCAGGCTCGCCTAGAGGTACCGCTGCACCCAGCCCACCCCAAGGGACAGGGACATCTGTGGGGCTGCCCCCAGCTCCCCTCGAAAGCAAGCCTTCGTGGCTCTGTCCTTGGCGAGATGACGAACAACGTGGCTGACCACCACCCTGGGAACTCGGTTGCTGAAGGCAACCATGAGGGGGACTTTGGTTGCTCCGTGGTGGAGCTCAGGAATCTCATGGAGCTGCGGAGTGCCGAGGCAGTCGCCCGGATTAACGACTCCTATGGCGGCGTGCAGAGTGTCTGCAAGAGGCTGAAGACGTCGCCGGTTGAAGGTAAGCGGCCCCTTGGCCAGATGGGATGTGCACGGAGCTCAAGCCAGAGAGCTCCCAAGCAGCCGGCGTGATGCTGCTCACCCAACTGCCGGCGGAGCTTCAAGCGTGGTTCCATTGCACTGCATGCCTGCTGTGAGCTTTGAGGGATGCAGTATATTGAAGAACGAGGGGTGGCCGGTGGGGCTGAGGCTCCTCTCCCTGCCCTGCTGTTGCCCCACGTGTGGCACTGGCTTTGCAGCTGCTCAGTGATTCGCAGTGGGGCTGTGTGGGGTGTTGGTTGTTCTTTTGGTGTGAGCATCTCAACCCAAAGCGCTGATGGGGACGGGGAGATGCGCTGTCTTCCTGCTGATTTAGGGCTTCTCATGCAGCCGTGGGAGCTGGGAATGTGACTGAGTCGTTCTGAGCACCATAGGATGGAGTGTGGTGGTGGGTTTGGTGCTGCCTGCCTTCTGGAAAGTTGTGGTGGAAGGATGTCACCAGATGTCACCTTTCCCCTTGGTGTGGGGTGTAGTTTTTGGCCCCCCCCATGTGATGCTGCGGCCCTGGCACGGAGTAGCTTTGAGCCTTTTCCATGGTTTTGAAAGGGGCATGGAGGGAGAAACGCCCTGCTCACAGCACTGAGGGCTGTGGGAATGGCGTGGGCAGGATGCGGCCCTGTGGGGCTGTGGGATGGGGCTGTGTGGTTTGCTGGTGCTGTGAACTGGGTTAGCGCGTTTCCCAGCTGTGAGCTGCACCGGGAAGGGGAGACAATCCCGGGATGTCATTAGAGGAGGAGGGGAGTCTCAGTGGAAATACCAAGTCCAGATGACAAAACAATGTGCTTTGGCCATGCCAAAAGGTGAGTGCGCTTTTGGGAGTGGGAAGGGAGGTGGGAAATGAACCCAAGGGGCTCTGCCCTGGCCTTGGAGCTTGCATAAGGAACGGGCACTGCTTGATCCCAAGGGCAGCTTCCAGGCCTGAGCCCCTGCCTCCATATGAGGCTGTTGGCTGTGTTCACATCGCTGTATTTTATGCCTCAGGTGTGGTCCCGTCCTCTCCTTGCTTGGAGGTGATCTTTATTGTCTGTCGTGCTGAGCTTGGAGAGGGAAGAAAGGTGATTTCCTATGAGCTAAGGTTGTGTAGGAAGAGAGCTGCTGTCTGTTCACACCTGAGTGGGGTGCTCGGTTCCCACTGTGCTGGGTCTCCAGCGTGGAGGCCTTCTCTCTGTCCATTGCCCTAAGAGGTGCCAGCAGACCCCCAGAACTCCAGAGAGAGCTTGCAGGTGTGCTGTTCCCCTTCTCCCCATATAGGGCAGCAGCTGCGCCAGCCCCATCCCTGCTGATAGGCATCCCTAGTCAGGCAGAGGTGGTGGAGAAGAGGAGTGGGACGGGAGCATGGCTGAGTCATCAGTCGGAGCATCTCTTGCTGGGTGTCAGCAGACACTGCCTCACACACAGTGCTTGGAGCAGCTCTGGCAGCTACTGCCTCCTTGGCCCCCACCCCAAGTCTGCTTTGGGGGGCTCCTAGTGAGGAGGATGGCTCTGCTTTCCTCCCACTTTGTGGAGCTGTCCTGCACACAGCTCTCCTCCTGGGTAGGGATCACAGCTCCTAAAAAAAGAAGGAGAAAAAAAAAAAAAGAGAGAGAGGAAAAAAGCTGAAAGCTGGTGGGCTCTGTCTGCCCTATCGGGAGGATGTGGGGCAGCTCTGGAGGAGGCTCTTGCAGGTAGGTTTGGAGGATCCATGTGCACACCCTCCTGGCCCCGCAGCCTCCAGCCCTGATGCTGCAATGAGTCAAGCGTGGCTCTTAGCGAGATTTTCCATCCCCGCCGCATGGGCAGGGCTGGCTGGGGCCGCGGGGCTGGGAGATCCCGCTCTGAGCCCTGGGTGGGAATGCAGGGTTAGTCACAGGGAAGAAGGGGTGTGTGCAGGCGGAGCTCCTCCTGCTGCTTCCTCCATGGGGTGCAGCGGGGCTGGGCGTTACAGCTGCGTGCCTGCTGTTTTTGGAGCTGGCAGCAGCCCCGGGGTGTGCTTAAGGTGGAGAGCGTGGAGCTGGGTGTGGGGATGGGGCTGCTCTCACGTGGCCCGCAGCCACTCTCTGCACTGCTCCCCCCGAGCTGGCAAGGCTCAGGTGGGTCTGGGCGCTGCTCCCAGTGCCAGATTTACGGTTAATTTGATGCGGTGTGTAAACAAGCTGGCCAGTGCCAACTGGCATGGCTCTGTGTGCACCCCAGGTGTCCCTGCCTGTGCTGCGCAGGGGCTCTGCTCTGCTCAGCAGTGGAGGGAACGTGGCGGCTGCATTTCTGTTTGGTCACATCTTGCCCTGTCCCGTCCCCAGGTCTGTCTGGGAACCCGACTGACCTGGAGAAGAGGAGGCAGGTGTTCGGCCAGAACTTCATTCCTCCCAAGAAAGCCAAGACGTTCCTGCAGTTAGTGTGGGAGGCACTCCAGGACGTCACCCTGATCATCTTGGAAATAGCAGCCATAATCTCCCTGGGGCTGTCGTTCTACCACCCCCCGGGTGGTGACAATGAACGTGAGTGGTGGGACAAAATCAGGGGACCTGTGGGGTAAGCTGCAGAGCCTTTGGGCCGTTCTGTTCCTTCTCGCCTTTGATGGTGGCTTCTCCCCTCCCATGCATGTAAGGGATGGGCACTGACAAGTTTGTGGGTGCAGTATCACTGCAGCTTGCTCAGGGCTGCTCCTGGCTGGTCCCCGTGGATGCTCAGAGACCAGGGGTCTGGTGGCCCAACCCCACGTGATGTTTTGTGGTTTGGCGCACAGAGGGATGGGGCTGGCTGTTCATGAGCACCTGCCCAGATCACAGGGTCACAGTATCACAGGGGCTGGCAGGGACCTTTAAAGATCATCCAGTCCAACCCCCCTGCCAAAGCAGGTTCCCTGTGACAGGTCACACAGGTAGGAAGGAGACTCCATAACCTTTTAGGGCAGCCTGTTCTTGTGCTCTTTTACTCTGACAGTGAAGTAGTTCTGCCTTATGTTAATATGGAATTTCCTGTGCTTCATTCTGCCCGTTGCCCCTTCTTCTATTGCTGCTCGCCACTGAAGAGTCCATCCCTATCAACTTGACTCCCACACTTTGGATATTTATGAACAGTGATGAGATTCCCCTCTCAGCCTTCCTTCCTCCAGGCTGAACAGCTCCAGGGCTCTCAGCCTTTTCTCCTACTAGAGATGCTCCAGGCCCTTTAAAATCTTCTTTGTCGCCCTCCACTGGGCTCTCTCCAGCAGTTCCATGTCTGCCTGGAACTGGGAGCGCAGCACTAGGCGCAGCATTCCAGATGTAGCCTCCCCATGCTGAGATGTGACAGCCCCTCACCAGGGTGGCCGTGCTCTGTGCTGTACGCCACAGGGACCGCTGGCTGTCTTGGCCACCAGGGCGCACTGATGGCGCACGGTCAGCTGTTGGTCAGCCAGGGCGCCACTGGCCTTCTTGGTCACCAGAGCATGCCGTGGGCTTGTGGTCATGCTGTTGGCCCCCAGGACCCCTTGGATCCTTCTCCACAGAGCTCCTCTCCAGCAGCTCAGCCCTGGCAGATGTGGCAGTGCTCCTCACAGCCGCGATGCCCCATGGTGGCTGAGCCACGCCATAGGGCAGTTCCCTTTTTTCCCCTTGGTACAACATGTTCTCCTCTCTGATGGCAGTGTGTGGGCAGTCGTCAGGTGGCGTGGAGGACGAGGGTGAGGCACAGGCCGGCTGGATCGAGGGGGCAGCCATCCTGTTTTCAGTCATCATTGTGGTGCTGGTGACTGCCTTCAATGACTGGAGCAAAGAGAAGCAATTCCGCGGCCTCCAGAGCCGCATTGAACAAGAGCAGAAGTTCACAGTGATCCGCAAAGGGCAGGTGATCCAGATTCCTGTGGCAGAGATCGTGGTGGGAGACATTGCACAGATCAAGTATGGTGAGTGGGGTGAGGGCGGCCCGGTTCTGCCCCATGGCACACGGAGGTTGGGAGCAATGAGACGGAGTTCTGGAGTTTCAGCAGGGTGATTGGAACTGAGGTCAGCACGTGGCTTTGGGCTGCTCCAGCACTGACCGTGTCCTTGTTGGAGATCGTCTCCCTAGCAAGGGGTGTCCTAGATGCAGCCCTTGGGCAAAGTGAGGCCCTGCTCCTTGCTCACCCAGCGCTCGTTTCCTGCAGCTTCCATCAGGAACGAGGGTTTTCTTGTGTGGGGCTGACTTTTACGTGGAGCTTTCTCTTGCCCCTGCAGTTGTGTGTTCCTGCAATGGTTTGGAAGCATTGAGGCTTTGGGAAGGTGGGACGTCGATTCATTAAAAGCAGGCACAGGGGGAGCACTGCCTGATGGAGTGAAAGGCCACAATGCTTTTATACATCAGTGAGCTATTGGAGATCAGCTTAATCCCCAGCTTCTCTAAATTGGGATGAATTTCTTGAGCCCTGTTGCTAACTCAGAGTTTTTCCTTGGGTGCAGCAGACAGGGATGCTGCAGCCGACTGGACTGGGGCCAACCCCATCTCTCTGCTCCTCTCCCAGGTGACCTCTTGCCAGCGGATGGCATTCTGATCCAAGGGAATGACCTGAAAATAGATGAGAGCTCGCTGACTGGAGAGTCCGACCAAGTTAAAAAATCACTTGATAAAGACCCCATGCTGCTGTCAGGTGAGGCTGCTCCTCCACTGGAAGTCCCAAAGCTGTCAGCGTGGTATTCAGAATTGCTAAATTGATTGGGATGGGATCCTCACCATCTTTTTGCAGCTGAGTTGTGGCTCCCAGCCCTGGAGCAGCTCTGTACTGCAAGAGATGCTGGGATGGCAGCAGGGCCTTTGCCTGGTCCCCGTGTGACAAGGGCTGCTGTGGTGTCTGCTGAGGCTGCAGATGTCCCAGGGAGAGAACCTTAGCTGACATGAGGTTCTGGGGCTAGTGGGAGCCCTGTGCTGTGTCCTTTCTCACCATGCTTTCCTGCTGTGCCAGGTACCCACGTGATGGAGGGCTCTGGGCGGATGGTGGTGACCGCAGTGGGAATCAACTCCCAGACAGGAATCATCTTCACTCTTTTGGGTGCAGGAGAAGGAGATGAGGAAAAGAAGGTGAAGAAAGGTAAGGAGATCTCCTAAATCTGCTTCTTCCCATCTGTTGCCTTTCTCCCTTCCCTGGGAAGCACCTGCTGGTGTGCGACAAGCCCCATCCACAGCAATGGGATGTGGTTGTGTGATAGTGCGTGTGACACAGACAGGTATGATGAGCTCTCAGGCCAACGTGGGATGTGCTGCAAGAGAAAAGCCCTTTGTGCACCCAGATCTCAGTTCTCCTGCTCTTTTCGGTCACATCTCTGTCTCTCTCATTCAGCCAGCTGCAGCCTGGAGCTGGAGGCTGGGCGGCAGTCAAGGACCAGAGAGGAATGGGACTGAGGGTATTGTTGTTGGTTCTTTGTAGGGAACTCATCAGCCACCCTGTGGTTGTAGGGTGAGTTCTGGCTGCCTGCAGGATGCCAGCAGCACATGCTGTGCCATCAGGACTTTTGGTTGGCATCCCTGAGTTGACTGAGCTGAGAGGTGAAGCACAGGGAGTGGGAAGAGGGCGAGGAGAGATCTGTGCCTGGTGGGTGTGGAAGAGGAGAGGGACCAGCTTGAGATGTCCCTGATCGTACTGGAATGTGAACTCTTTCCTGCCTCAGCTCTGCCCTTTTGCTACTCCATCTCAGAGCTTCTTGATCATAAAGGATCCCAAGCTGGTGTTGCTGTGATCCAGGCTGGGGCAGCTGGGGTGTAGCCCAGCTTGGAGATGGGATCATGAGGAGAGAAAGCTGTTGAAGCTAACAGCAGTGTGTTTGAGGTCCATGCATGAAGCTTGGTGTTTTCCTTGTCCTCAGGCTCTGTCACTTGATCCCAGAGCAAACCTAGCTATGTGTCCAGTGCTGAGACCTTGCAGCCCTTAATTTGGGAGCATAACTTGGGAAAGGGAGTGCTGCCCTGACTCATCTCTTGCTGTGCTGCTGAGGGGAAGGGAGGGAGGGAGAAGCCAGGTCTCTGGTATATAAACCCCTTTATTGTGTGCTGCTTGTTTAGGTAACAGCAGCCCTGCGCTTCCCATATTATGGTGACCCATTGGGGGACCCCAAAATGGGGACCTTGCCTGCTGCAGACCTGGGGGGATCTGCGCAGTGTAGCACTGCCCGTTGCTGGGGGAGATGTGTGAATGATCTGCTGTGCAGAAATCAGGCTCTGCTTGTGTCTTCTCCTTGGAGGTCTGAGATGCCCTTGGCACCCCGTGGAGCTCTGGTGGGGTTTATAGTGGGTGCTTTGCAGGGGTGATTTCAGGGAACGTCTGAAGCGGTGAGGTCAGGGTGCTGGGGAACTCCAGCTCCTTGCTGTGCTGGGATGCAGGATTACCTCTGGCAGGTGAGGTGAGCTGTCTGGGGTCCCACATTCAGCGCCCTGTGGCGGTGAGCCCACAGCACGAGTGCTGCTGGAGCAGTGTGTGCATCCGCTTGGAGGAGGGCTGACCCTTCCCATCCCTCTGTCTGGTCTGTGTGCTCAGCCCTGCACCCTTTCTCTCTTTGAACAGGTAAAAAAACCGGAGCCCCTGAAAATCGCAACAAAGGTAACCAGCCTCTCCATCCTTTGAACCAGCACCACACTAACTACCAAGCATTCCTCCTTCCTTCTTCTCATGAGTCTGTGCTCTTTGCTGCTCTGGCGGGACTCTCGCCTCGTCCTGGGAGAGGGTGCAATGGTCCCAGAGCTCCGGCACAACGGGATCAATGCCCTGTGGCCTTTGCTTGGGGCAGAGTCTTTGTGCAGGGAGGATAGGCCTCTTCCTGACAGTCTGGACTGCTGGCACAGCATCCCTTGGTCCAAAGCAAGTCCCCATTGACATGACCTTATGGCTCTGAAGCATTTGTGCTGCTTTCCTGCAGGGTGTGTGTTTGGGCATGGTGGGGCAAGAGACATGGGTCACATCCTCCTGGGATAAATCTCCCGTGAGACCCGGCTCGTGTGATGGTTGCACCCTCTCCTCCCATGGCCTAGACTCCGTGAGCGTCTCCTCGCCAGTGTTTCTCACCCTGTTCTTTGCAGGCTGTGGAGGAAGCCCATTTCTGCACCTCTTTCTCCACCCCTTTCTCTCTTTCTTTCCTCTCAGCAGTTTGAGTTTTGCTCTCCTTCCCGTCAGATGTGTCTGGGTGCTTGTTTTGTCTGTATTGTTGTAACTGTGGAGGTTGTCAGGGCAGCTTAGGGCTGTCTCTGACCATTGAGCAGTGGCTCCAGGAGGGAATGGGTCCTGGGGCTGCTGTGGGGTGCTCCTGCTGCTCCCCCAGCCCAGTAGCTCTCAGCCTTTGCTCCATCATACTGCTCCATGCCTCCCAGCCCAGCTGGGATTTTCAGCTGAGGGAGGCCGTGGAGCTGGGCCTGGCCTTCTTGGGTCTCAAAAACATAATGAGCAGCTTGGGGCTGGGATTGCGGGAGCTGGTTCACTCCTCTTCCAGTTCCATTGGAATGCCTAACCTCCCCCTCCATCTCCCCCTTCCAGTGCTCCTCTGTGAAATGGATTCCTGCTGAGCCACCAGAAGGGCTTTAAAAAGGGCATCAAAGCACAGAAGAGGGGTACAGAGCAGAGAGAAGCTCTCTCCGAGCTCAGCCTGCTGTGCTGCGACTGGGATGGGGTCTGCTGGTGCACTGGAGCTGCTTTGGGGCAAACCCAGCGTGCTTTTCTTGTGCTGCAGGGTGTGAAGCAGCTGTGAAGAGCTTGGAGACATCCTGCCTGTGCCCAGCAGCCAGGCTGGGGATCTCTGGCTGCACTGCTGTGACCCGTAGCCAGCATCAGCCTCAGGACCCTTTCTGCACGGGGCTGGGACATGGGGTAGATGTCAAGACTGTCCCATAGAGAGGCAACAGGGCCCCTGGACAAGGGATTTCCATGTGCTCGGATGTGTGTGTCATGGAGAATGGTTTGTGCTCTGGGTTTTCTCTCTTTCCCACCACCATATTTCTCAGCGGTGTCCTGCAGGTCTCCCTGGTCTCTCTCCTACTCACATGTGGTGTCTTATTTTGCCCTGGGGCTGTAGCTAAAACTCAGGATGGTGTGGCCTTAGAGATCCAACCCCTGAAGAGCCAGGAAGGGGTGGAAAATGAGGAGAAGGAGAAGAAGAAGGTGAAGGTGCCCAAGAAGGAGAAGTCTGTGCTCCAGGGGAAGCTGACGCGCCTGGCGGTCCAGATTGGGAAGGCAGGTGAGCCATCACTGGGGGTTCTCACTGGAAGTGGGACAGTGGGAGGGGGCTGTCCCCTGCCTGCCATCCCCATGTCCCCTCACCTGCTGCTCGGCATCTTCCCCCAGGGCTCATCATGTCGGCCATCACGGTGATCATCTTGGTACTGTACTTTGTCATCGACACCTTTGGGGTGCAGCGTCGGCCCTGGCTGGCGGAGTGCACCCCCATCTACATCCAGTACTTCGTCAAGTTCTTCATCATCGGTGTCACCGTGCTGGTGGTGGCTGTGCCCGAAGGGCTCCCCCTGGCAGTCACCATCTCCCTGGCCTACTCGGTGAAGGTGAGGCCAGTGGGGACGAGTGGCGGGTATGGAGAAGTGTGATGGGAGAATTCAGGCTTTTGGCTTTAACCTTCTTGGTCTGCTGCAGAAAATGATGAAGGACAACAACCTTGTGAGGCACTTGGATGCTTGTGAGACCATGGGTAACGCCACTGCCATCTGCTCAGACAAGACTGGCACGCTCACTATGAACCGAATGACTGTGGTGCAAGCCTATGTTGGGGACACCCACTACCGCCAGATCCCTGACCCTGAAGCCATCCTGCCCAAGATCCTGGACCTCATTGTCAATGGTGTTGCCATCAACTCTGCCTACACATCCAAGATCCTGGTGAGTCAGCTCTTAAGAACTGCAGCCTTACGTTCCCACAGTTGGCTATCCCTGCTGTTTCCATCCCACTGTGTTCTGCAGTGCCCGGGTTTATATTGCTTTTCCGCCTTTCTCCTCCAGCCACCAGAGAAGGAAGGGGGGCTACCCCGGCAAGTGGGGAACAAGACAGAGTGTGCCTTGCTGGGCTTCGTGCTGGACCTGAAGCAGGATTACCAGGCTGTGCGGAATGAGGTGCCAGAGGAGAAGCTGTACAAGGTCTACACCTTCAATTCAGTGCGCAAGTCCATGAGCACGGTGCTCAAGAACAGCGACAACAGCTTCCGCATGTACAGCAAGGGAGCCTCTGAGATCATCCTCCGCAAGTAACTGTCCCCCATGCTATCTGGGTCCTCTCCCCAGCCCAGTTGTCCCATGGGCTTTGAGCTCTCAATGCACTGTTGAGCTATTCTGGGGGGCTGCGGGGCTGTGGGGTAAAGGGGACCCAGCACTTGAGAAGGGGGAAGGGGAAAGGGTGAGCATCAACAGGTGCTGCTGTGCAAAGTGCTAACTCTTAAGGTGTCTTTGGTAAGGCTGTAAGGGTACTGGATGAGAGGGTTGTGCTCATTTTACAGATGGGAAAACTGGGTGATGGATTGTTGAACAGCCACAGGCAGCCTCCTTTACCCTCCTGTCCTGGTCCTGTGTTAGGTGCACAAAGATCCTGGACAAGAATGGTGACCCCCGGGTGTTCAAAGTGAAGGATCGGGATGAGATGGTGAAGAAGGTGATTGAGCCCATGGCATGCCATGGGCTGCGGACCATCTGCCTGGCCTTCCGTGACTTCCCTGCTGACACTGAGCCTGACTGGGACAGTGAGAATGAGATCCTGTCTGACTTGACCTGCATTGCTGTGGTGGGGATAGAGGACCCAGTGCGGCCAGAGGTACTGTGGCTCTGACAGCCCATCACTCAACCATGCTCCTGGCCCAGGACCCTCTCTTCTTGATTTTTAAGAGTATGAGCCCCTTACCAAACTACCAACATGCTACTGTGTGCTGGCATTGCCCTTGCGTGCACAGGCAGAAGGACCTGGTGGCAGCCTGCTTCCACTCAGACTTCCTTCCCTTGTTGCTCCACGGCCCTTTGCAGAAGCCCCACAGGTTCCGTGTGCAATTGTCAGGTGCAGGGAGGCAGGCAGCACTCCTGCACCAGTCAGGAGTGATGAGAATGCTGGAGAGGGCAGGACTGACCAGCTGGTTCCTTCACCTTGCAGCTTGCTGCCCCCATTTGCCTCCATCACAGTGTGCCAGGCAGGCAGCTGACCTAATGCAATAAACCTTCTGCTACCTGCCTCTTAATTGCATTTTGGAGTTTGCCCCTACGCTTCTGCCTTGCTTGCATCTTTCCTTATTAGATGTTCAAGTATCTGGGTCTGGGAATTGCATTACAGATGTCCTGTCTGCACTGACTCTGGAGGTTGTGATTCAATTTGCAGATTTCTCACCAATATCCTCTTCCCCCACTGCTCTGTAATAAATAAATCCATTAGTGTAGCAACATGCTTCCAGAGCAATGCAGGGGCAGGAGGAATGCCCCTGTTCGGGTGGGCTGCCTGGCTGTGCCTCATGATGGGCAATGAGGTTCTCTTCCCTTGGGGCAGGGGTTGGGGGGGCTGCTCCAAACAGGGCTGCGAGGGCAGGAGCAGGGTGCTCTGTTCCCTAGAGATTTCTCCGTCCCTCACAGATAAGGAGCTGAGCTGGTTCTGGGTGGGATGTGTTGGTTCAGCATCTTGTCCCTGAGCTAAGGGTGGATGTAAATGGCTTGTGATCCCATTGGGACCATGGCCTGAGTGCTCTGCCCGCTCCTCGCCTGTCCCCATCACCAGGTGCCAGATGCCATCCTGAAGTGCCAGCGTGCAGGCATCACTGTCCGCATGGTGACTGGGGACAACATCAACACTGCCCGTGCCATCGCCACCAAGTGTGGCATCCTGCTGCCTGGAGAGGACTTCCTGTGCCTGGAAGGGAAGGAGTTCAACCGGCTTATCCGCAACGAGAAGGGCGAGGTGGGGGAGCGGCGCGGGGCCCTGCTGTGGGTGGCTGGGTGCTTTGAGGGACACATTCTGATGAGGCAGAAGGTGTCCGGGGGGCCCTGTGCCTCCTCACACCCGCCCTGTCCTGCAGGTGGAACAGGAGCAGCTGGACAAGATCTGGCCCAAGCTGCGTGTGCTGGCCCGCTCGTCCCCAACAGATAAGCACACGCTTGTCAAAGGTGGGTGCGTGCCTGCTCCTGGTGCTCACCACCTCTCCCCCAAATGCCCTGGGCAGCTCTGCCCAGCTGCTTTTTGCAGCATGATCTCTGCTGGAGCCTGCCCTCAGAGCTAACTTTTTCTGCGCTCTTTCCCCCCCTGTTGCAGGAATTATTGACAGCACTGTTGGTGACCAGCGGCAGGTGGTGGCTGTCACCGGGGATGGGACCAATGATGGCCCAGCTCTGAAGAAAGCTGACGTTGGATTTGCTATGGTACAGAAGAGCAGTGGGTTTGCCAGCAGGTGCTCCCTGGCTATGGGGGTGGCCTTTGCTTTTCAGGGAGAGGATCTGAAGATCTACTTGATTGTTCTGAGCACTTAAATTCTCTCTGCAGCGGCGAAACTCTTTTTTCAGATCTTCCTTAAGGGCTTAAAATGGAGAAATAAACCTGTCCAGAGGTTGGTGCGAGGTTTCAGGAACCTTCTAGGACTGCTAGCAAGTGATTGGAAAACAGTTCTCCAATAGCCTGGGTTAGGGGTGGGTTTCTCTGACACACTGCAGGGGGGCAGTGTGAGGCTGAAGTTGGTAAGGTGCTGGTGCAGCACCAGAGCTTTGCACAGAGCCAGCCTGGGACAGAGCTCACTGTGCATTGGCTCAGCTTCACAGCTGTGCACCAGGCTCGTAATGGACAAGTCAGAATCCAGTCACAGTGCTGGTGCTTGCCTGGAGTTGATTTGCACTGAAAGAGCCCCGATCTGCCTCACTGCTTTTCTTTGCCCTGCCTGAAGGAGGCAACAAGCAATAGCTGAGGAGTGTAACTGCTTTCCACTGAATTGTTAGTTTACATCTCCAAGCATGAGCCAGCTGCTGGACAGAGCCTGATGCTTGCCCATGCAGGGCACAGCAGGAGCGGGAGCCTGTGAGGGGACAGCGGAAGGCTGTCTTCCTTGATAATTGTGCAGCGATGCTCTGTGCCCCCATGTGTGGGATCAGACCCTGACCGCTGGGCTTTGCTCGCATCCCCCCAGAGCAGCAATCAAACAGTAACCTTGTGCTGCTCTGCCCAGCTTCTCTCTGAAGCTCGTGCCCTGCAAAAGTCAGGCGTTTCCATCCAAGACAGGTCTTGCAAGCCTCAAGAGAAAGGAAAACACTGGGGAACTGTCTCCTTGCAGGGCATTGCAGGGTGTGTTTGATACACTGCATTTTCTGGGAAGAAGCAGCATTGTAAAGCTGGGTGTGGAGCTTGTCCTGTCACTTACCCCTGCCCACTTCCTCCCTGGCCCTTAAGGGCATTGCAGGCACTGATGTTGCAAAGGAGGCTTCAGACATCATCCTGACGGATGACAACTTCACCAGCATCGTCAAGGCAGTGATGTGGGGTCGCAACGTCTATGACAGCATCTCCAAGTTCCTGCAGTTCCAGCTGACAGTTAACGTGGTGGCTGTCATCGTGGCTTTCACGGGCGCCTGCATCACGCAGGTATGGAGCTGCTGCTCTCGGCAGGAGGAGAGCGGAGCACCTTGCAAAACAGAGGTGAAAATGGGCTGGTTTAGTCGCTATGTCATGTTGTTCGCGCTCTCCCTGCAGGATTCTCCCCTGAAAGCCGTGCAGATGCTGTGGGTGAACCTCATCATGGACACCTTTGCCTCCTTAGCCCTGGCAACGGAGCCCCCATCTGAATCCCTGCTGCTCCGCAAGCCGTATGGCCGCAACAAGCCGCTCATCTCCCGCACCATGATGAAGAACATCCTGGGGCACGCTGTGTACCAGCTGACTATCATTTTCACACTGCTTTTTGTGGGTGAGCTCTGAGACCCCCAAGAAACTGGGGAGAGAGGGTGGAGGGAAGGGGTGGACTGCCCCCAGATCCTTACTGGTGTTAGGGGCTGTTCTGAGCTGTCACCCAGTAACCCCCAAGGCAGCACAGAGCTCCTTTAATGGGTGGGAGGTGGTGGTATGATAATCACGAGTACTTATGCTGACTGCATGGGTTTGTTTTGTCCATCAGTGGCTGGTGGTTCCAGCCAGGGAAGCATATTTTCCAAATTTTTATGGCCTTTTTAAGGAAATGATGGTTGATTGGGGCTGGTGTCAGGGAGTCTAGCTGGGTCAGGGGATCTTCACTGAGAACCTTGGACTCCAATTCTACTTCCACCAGTGCAGAGAAGATGAGATCCTGTTTCTTTTCTCCCTGCCTGTGTCCCACCCCAAACCCCTTGTCTGCTTAGGGGAGAAACTGTTTGACATTGACAGTGGCCGGAACGCCCCGTTGCATTCCCCACCCACCGAGCACTACACCATTGTCTTCAACACCTTCGTCATGATGCAGTTATTCAATGAGATCAATGCACGCAAGATCCACGGGGAGAGGAATGTCTTTGAGGCCATCTACCGCAATCCCATCTTCTGCACAGTGGTGCTGGGGACGTTTGCAGCCCAGGTGAGGGTGTGTGGGAGCAGCGTGGGGGGGGAAAAGGATGGGTGGTGGAACTTTGAGGGGACAGTGATGCGGGGAGGACCAGTATGTGCTGCACTTCCTCACCATGACTCTGTTCTTTTACCTTGCTCTTCTCCTGCAGCTTCTCAATGACTCTAAACCTGACATCTGGGGTCTGGAGTGGCTTGGGAGGTTCTGGGGCTGGCTAGCCAGCATGCATCTCTGGTGGCCTTACTGGTCTAGATGGGAGGCTCCAATGCTTATCTTATGATCTGTGGGTCTGGAAGACCTTTTCTTCCCATGACTACTGATCGTTGTATCCCTCTAAGTTTCCAGTGTGTGACTTGTACTCTCCTGTGCTGTAGATCATCATTGTGGAGTTTGGTGGGAAGCCATTCAGCTGCTCCGGGCTCACCCTGAGCCAGTGGTTCTGGTGTATATTTATTGGAGTGGGAGAGCTCCTCTGGGGCCAGGTAAGAGCCAGCCTGTATGAAAACTAAGCAGCTGTTCCTCCTTGCCCAGCTGTAACCCTAGCCAAGCCCACCTTTTCTTTTCCCACCACTTCAGTGCTCAGATTCTCCCTAGATTCTCTTTGTTCAAAGCTGGGGATGGTGATGCTCCATCCCAACCCCATACCACCAGAGAGGAAGCTGCTGGTAGATTCCTTGCTCTCACCCTGCTTGCCTGAGGTGTGGGTTGTCCCAGCTGAGCTGCTCTCCTTGCCTCTCCCCAGCTGATCTGCACAGTCCCTACCAGCCACCTGAAATTCCTCAAGGAAGCTGGGCACGGCATCACCAAGGAGGAGATCCCAGAGGAAGAGCTGCCAGAGGATGTGGATGAGATCGACCACGCTGAGATGGAGCTGCGGCGTGGGCAGATCCTGTGGTTCAGGGGTCTCAACAGGATACAGACGCAGGTAATGTGGGGCAGCGGGTCCTGTGGGCCCTTCTTCTCTCTCTTTCTCCTTTTCCCTTTCTTTCTAGGGCTCCGTCTGGAAAGATGTGACAGCCACTGCTCAGAGGATGCCATCACCTCCTGGGCTAGACTTCTCCCACCACCTGTGCCTTTCTGGGTCTGTCCTGGTTTTCGGAAACCAGGATAGTCTGACTTTCTGGGACAGCCTGGGGTGGGCAGGGGGTGGTACGAGTTCTGTTTTGACACAGAATGTGGCCGATGGCCACCTCACTGGTAGCAGAGCAGTGCTGGAGCTGTAGTGATCCTGGCAGGGATCAGCCCAGTGGAGCTGCAGCGTGGAGCACTGAGCACTCTCCCTTGGGGCTCTTACAGCAGGGCTGTCTTCCACTCTAGGCTGATGTGAGCTGGTATCAGCCTTAGGCAGTCTGAGGTGTCTGGGGAAGGCGTCTTCCCCTTGCCAGATGGTTGCTGGTGCTTCCAGGAGCTGACTATGCTCTCTGAGCTCAGGACCTCAGGCTGAGCCTGGCTCCCTCAGTCCTCGAGCAGAGCCCTGCTCCAAGGGGATGGCTGTGGATGAGCATCACCTCCTGCTGCCCTCGGAGGGTTCTTGCCATCCTCCTTGCCAGCTCTCCTGCTCTGTGTCTGCTGCTCTTGGCCCTGCAGCAGGGAAAGGGAAGAGAATTGGTTAATATGGTTTTTGCATCAATTGTTTCTCTGACTTTTTTTTTTTTTTCCCCTGAAAGGTGTTTGTTGTCCTCGTGTTTTTTTTTCCTGCCCTGCCTATGCAGTGGTTGGCTGTTTGGGGCAGGGGGAGTCCCTGCAGTGAGGAGCTGTCCTTCTTCCCTTGAGGCCCAGGACAGAGCTGCCTTATGGAGTGAAGCTTGGGGCTCATGTATCACCCTTTGTTCCCACTTCTCAGGCCTTGCAACAAACCAAGTCAACTGAAGTGGCCCAAGTGCAGGAACTGGAGCTAGCATGGCAGCTGTCTTAGGCTGGGTTAGCTTGGCTTCTCTTTGAGATGTTGCCTTGAGGGTTTCAAGGTGAAGGGCAACGCTGGCAGGGGCTGAGCTGCCTCTGGGAGCCCCGGGTCAGGTCAGGAAACAATCCCAATGTCCTGATAGGTATGGGCAGCCAAAAGTCAGGCGTGCTTCTGGCTCTGTGCCTGCATTTGTGCCCGTGGCTCTGGATTCTATGTCCTGTGAGCTGTGGTGGACCTGTTGCAGTGCCTAGGAGCATTGTTCCCCTCTGCAACTGCTGGCAAATCTTGAGGCCTCTCGAGCATGTTTTTTCTGGCTGTGGTGCCCCATATGTCAAGTGGAGCAACAGCAGGTCAGACCTGAGCATTTCAGGGGAGTCAGTGTCCAGATGGCATGCCTTAAACAGGCCATGTTCCTTGTGGCCAGCCTGGCATGCCAGGGCAGGGTGTGTCCCTGATGAATGTCAGACTGGGCAAGGAGCAAAGCAGGGTGTGAGAGCTGCATGCAATCTGGAGAAAGTGTCCTTTCCCCAGGGGAGCAGCGAGGGGACATGAGTCAGGGAAGCTTCTGAGTGCTGCTCGGTCCCTCCTGCCTGGAGTGTGCCATGGGTGTAGCATCTTGGTGGCTTCCCTGCCTGCTCTACCAGCTCTGCTTCTGGGCCCTGTGTTTTTCTAGGGGAGAGGCTGTGGAATGCATAGAACGCTATGGTCCTGTGTACCTGCTGCACTCCAGGACGCAGCCCCGTAGGGCCAAGGGACCACAAACTCTTCCTCAGTACAGTTTTCCAGGCTGCCAGCTCACACCTCCGCTGCTCTCTCTCTGTCTCTGCTCGTCTTGCAGCTCTGGGAATGACCTGGGCTGCTCCTCGTGCCGCTCCCCCTCGCCTCATCTCTCGGTGGTGGAACGAACCCTGCACCTCTTGCACCCTCAAGGACTGGAAGCCTACCTCCCCTCTGCCCCCATGCACTGACCAAACCCGTGTGGGTTTGTGGGAGTGAGGGCTGGGTGGTGTTGGCTCTCTCATCCTTCCTCCTCCGCCTCTCCATCCTCTTCCTTCCTATCCCTGTGTGTCTGCCCCAACCCCGTTCCCTCTGTCCCTGACCCCTGTCTCTGTTTCTGGCTGGGACGATGCTATCTCATTCTCTGATTCTTTGCAGATGGACGTAGTTTACACATTCCAGACCGGCGCCTCCTCTTTGCAGGGAGCCCTCAGGAGACAGCCTTCCATCGTGAGCCAGCACCACGATGTAAAAAATGTTTCTAGCCCAACCCATGTAGCTCTTTCCTCCGTCAATTCCACTCCCACCACTTCTGCTGTTGCTGCTGCTGCATCTCCTCCTGCGGGCAGTGAGTGATAGTCTATTACAATGCATGACTTCTAATAACCACAGAGCACTGCACAACCTGACCCAGCCTGCTCTCTTTCCCTCTGACCCACTGTTTTCTAAAGTGAAGGATGGGGTGGGAGATGGTGTTTGTTTATTTATTTATTAAAAAAAAAAAAGAGGTGCTGAATCCTTAATAAGTTGGTGATACTTCTTGGTCCTTCCCTCACCCCATTCCTTGTTGCTTCCTTGTTTTTTTCACCTCTTCTCCTTTGCAGGACTGACATGTGAGTCCCCCCTCCTGATTGGGTTGGGGGGAGGGGGAGGGAGGTGCCAAATTGGTGGTTCTGGCTGAAAGAACCATGCTAATTTCTGAGCAATTCAGAGCACCGCTGTGAGAAGGGAGTGCTGTTTGTGCCCAGACGCTGCCAGTTCTTTGCAGTGGGGCCCTGCACAGCCCCAGGAGCTGCTGGAGAGGTTGCTTTTCCAGAGCCCTTCACATGGAAGCAAAGCAACCTCTCGGCCCTTCCCACAGCAGTCAGCACACTGTTGGGGCTGGCTGGGCCGCAGGGCCGTGCTGCCTGCATGCTCTCTGCTCTCGCCACGTGTGTGTGAGTGACAGTGGGGTTTGCACCCTACCATGCTCAGCAGTGCAGGAGCAGTTGGGTGCTCTGCATCACTCACCCACAACCAGGCCCACCTGTTCAGCAAGCAACCTCCCCATCCCAGGGTTAACCTGCATGCCTTGTGGGATAGGATGGAGGGCTTCGTGCCCAGCCTGGAGTACTCACACCCCCAAGGTCCCACAGAGCCCAGCCCTGAGGCTGGAGAAAACCTTGGGCTGCGCAAATGTGCAGCTGCTCAGCAGAAGTGTAAATGATGCCGTGGCGAGGAGCACACCTAAATGTGTCCCCTGCTCTGCAAGGGTGGCATGGGGGCTCTGCTGGTCCCCTGGTGGCCCCGGAGCATCGCTGCCCTGTGCAGCAGCTCAGCAGGGCTGGCTGCTCTATTCTGTGCCCACAGCTTTCTGCATGCAAATGGGACGGAAAACATGGCTGGACAAAGCTGGATCTTGCATCTGGCAATAGGTTTCCAGAGCAAAGCAAATCTTGCTGTTATGGTGCCCTGTGTTTGTTACGAGCAGAGTAATGGCCCACGAGCATGTGAGTGAGGATTCTGTCTGCAGGGCTGTCAGTAGGTAGTGCATCTTTCTCAAATAATTGGCTTTTTTATTGCACAGTCATTTTACCTTCTTCTGTTCTTATTAAGGAAATACCCTGAGTGACTTTTTGAGCAGCTTTCAGTCTCCAATGTTTACACAGTGTGGTGGAGAAGAGAGAACTTTTGTATAATTTTTTTTTCTCTCTCTTTAGTCAGCACTGATAGCTGAGTTTTGTTTAACCCAGTGTTTCTGAAGCAGCACAGCTGCCTTCTGGTCATCTCTGCACCGAGATGTTCTGACTGGAAGAAAACCTATTAGAGGGGTCTCAGGGCAGGGCGTTTGGATGGGCAAAATCACAATGCAGTTTTTTTTCAGCCTGTGGATTAATTTTCTCCCTGTTCTGCAGCAGGGGATGTTTTGGATAGCAAGTGTCCTTCCAGGCAGCAAACAACTTCACCAACAGCTAACCCAAGCTGCTAAGTCTTCCCTCTGTTTTCTGTCTAGATGTTTCTCTATTCCCTTTGCTGCTTTCCTTCCCTTGCTCTGAGCTCCAGTTCCCTCTACAGATTAACAGTGTCCTGCTGTCTTCCACTTCATTTCTGGGATGAGTTTTCCAGGGCTGGACCTCAGCAGCCCTGTGTGCTCTGTTGGAGCCAATGGAGGAAAGGGAGATCTCGGGAGGGCCCTCCAAGAGGTGGTTGGCAGAGCTCACCTCGTGTCTGGTTGGACCTGGTTTGGGGTGGTGGGGTTCAGCAGTTGTGGTGCAGGAGATGTCACTTCCACCTCGTTGTGCACAGTGGTTCTACAGTGGTGATGGTGCAAAATGAGAGTGAACTGTAAAGCTTATGTGAAGTTCTTTTAACGAAGGAACAGCTTCTTGGATTAATCTTGCAACAGTGGTTCAAGAGATGGTTAAATCAATGAGTATATGGAAAAAGCTGCTGCTCTGGCAGAGCAGATGGTGTGGGATGACAGGTGGGATCTGGGCTCACCTGTGCTGCAAGTGGTGGGGAAGGGAGAGCTGTGCGACTGCTCCAGAGCTCGTGCTGCACTCCCTGCTGTGCTGGCAGGCACCGAGGCACTGTCTAGGTGGGTTAGGCTGGTTCTCTGTGGCTTTTGTACACCACGTCAGGGCAGTCAGCGCTTGCAGTTGCTCTTCTTGAGGTGCTGATGAAGTGCTGCACTGTTAGTCTCAGTACCAGGTGGTCTGCTCAGCGGTCTGCCTTGTCTTGTGCACTCACATTAAATCCTGACTTTATCTAGGATGTTGCTGTGTTCGCTTGTGCAGCAAACGGCTCTGTATCCCTTTTCCCAGCCATGGAAACTTTCAGTTGTCACAGGACAGCTGGTGCTCCAGCTTCATGGTGGTACTTCCTCTTGAGTGCCTGACATCCAGCTCGTGGGCTCCGAGCAGGTTTGTTTACTTCTAGCTAGGATGTGCTGCATCTGTGGGGATGCCCTGGTGTGGGGTATCAGCGTCATTCTGAGCCTGATGCGGAGCGGATCAAAAGCACATCCCCTGTGCTGAGGGAACCCTGGAGCATTGTGCAGGTAAACCTCCTGAGTTTCAGGCATAAGAATTGTGTTTGAGTAATTTCTCTGGTTTGCTTCTGTCAGTGCTATTAAAGCTGAAGCCAATGATCCCCGGAGGCTCCCTCTAGCTGTGCTGGGTTTGATGTGCTTCCCAGCCTCTAATGGTTCCTGAAGAAGTGGCAACATACACTTTCAGCATCAGCTTGCAAGGGGCTGCATAGCTCATTCTCCTCTAGCAGCTCTTCAAGCTCTCTGCTTCCCCTGCTGTGTGATGGGGAGGCTGCAAGGGTTGCATCATGAGGATGCTTTAGAGAAATATCTGTTCTGTGTGATCTACAGCTCTCCTTCCATTTGTTCCCCAGGGGATATGGAAGGGAGTTAATAGAGTTCCTTAGGTGCTGGAGCTGCTTTCTTCTTCTGTGTGCCTGGAGATGGAGCAAGAGTAGCGGTGCTGCTGTGGGGAGGGGTCACTGATGGCTAAGGCAGTGCCCAGTGGCAGTGACACGAGCCAGCAGGATGCTGGTGTGAGCACCAGCAAGGTGGGAGCACTGGGGGAGAAGCAGCAAGCAGAGTATCTGTGGGAGCTGCCATGGAGTCATCCAAGAGCCGCTTTGGAGGAGCCCTGTGTGCTGCACGGCTCTTGGCTTTGTAATAAAAAGGCAAAGCAGGGAGTGTGGTTTCACCGGGTCTTTCTTAACTTGGGAGCCTTCAGCTGTTTGTCAGCCTGCATACTGCAGCGTTCATTCAGTTTGTCTTTTGACATCTTCTGAGTGATTGCAGCCCCCAGTCATCTGCAAGAGCTGGAGCCCTGCAGGTGCATGCATTGGTTGCCCTGTGCATGGTGTGTGGGCGTGGGGCTGCAGGGAGAGCTGCCTGCTGAGCCCCCAGCAGTGCCCCCTCACCCCTAGGATCTGATGCTTGTCACCTGTCATGCAGGGAGGGACTGGAAGAGCACAAGGCTGCACTTGCAGAGGAGCTGGCAAGAGCAGTGAATTTGGTGCTGGCTGTGTCCTGGCTCATTTCCAGAGCTCTCCCTCCCGCCCCCCCCCCCCCCCCCAGTGCAGCACAGCAGGACCCCAGCTATGCAAACTGGGCTCTGGATCTCTTGCTTGTCATGCCTTGCTTTTTGGCAGCAATGGAAACCCAGTGGTTTCACAGGGCAGCAAGTGGCCAAGCTTTCTAGTGAGGTTTTGGATTTCTTGTGTGTGCAGAGCTCCAAAAAGAACAGCTGTATCTGCCTTGGGGGATTGCTGAGACCTCTTTGGCACATGCAGGGCAGGATGTGGAGCTCCAGCCTGGGATCTGTGGCTGCAGTGCAGGGAAGCTCACGTGCATCTGGCTTCCTCCTTGCATGTTTCATTGGGTCCTATTTTGCTACTCATGGCATCTATTTGGACCTACAGCTTTATGTGGGCTTGGAAAGTTTGTGACACCTTGTTAGACACCTTGTTAAAGCCCGTTCCTTTCTGTAGGTCTAAAAACAGAACAAACACATTGCTCCCACAGTAGGTTTTTTTTTTTTTTTTTGCCTTGAAGCAAACCCACTGTTTGTCTAACCCACCTCTTTTTTGAGTTGTAGTGCCACTTTTTTGTCCTTGTTTACACACACAGATATGCGTGCGCACACATAATGACAACTAATGCAGTTTGGCTTCTGTTCATTCAAAATGATCTCGTTTCGTTTTTTTTGTTTGTTTGTTTTTGAGGTTTTTTTTGTCTTTTCTTGCAGCTTCTGAAGCAAGAAAGTCAGTTGACTCCCCATCACACACCTTGTGCCTGGTCTGGTCCATGTTGGCCCTCCTAGTTCACCATAGATCTCTCATTTTGACTTACCTGTCTGTTCCGTGGTGGTGATCATTGTTGTTGTCCTTTTTGTTTTATTGTCCCTTTTTTTTTTTTTTTTTATTTTCTCCCGGGAGCTCCAGCCTCATGGCTGCTACTAACCCCTCTTTTATTTATCCCCATGCTCTGCACCCTCGCCTGCTGGCAGATCAAGGTGGTGAATGCGTTCCGTAGCTCCCTGTATGAAGGCCTCGAGAAACCTGAGTCCAGAAGCTCCATCCATAACTTCATGACACACCCGGAGTTCATCCTGGAGGAAGATGAGCCTCGAACACCATTCCTTGACAGCGCCGAAGATGACCCCGAGACCGACGGACTCACAAAGCGAGGTGGGGGCAGCCTGGGTGGATCTTCATCCCTCAACAGAAATAACAACGCAGTGGACAGTGATCAAACCGAGGTCAACTTTGTGGAGCCTGAAAGCCTCTTTCACAGCTTGGAGACATCGGTTTGACCTTAGAACTTCAAACCCCCTCCCACCGCCCTCCTCCACCTTCGCCCCACGTCCAGCGTGATGTTGCCATCAGTAACTGATCACAAGCTGCAGTCACTTTGTGTCAAACTGCTCATAAGTATATCATTTGGGGTTGTTTTTGTTTTGTTTTGTTTTGTTTTTTACTATGATTTAGCTGTGGGAACCAGAGTACCATGATGCTGAGAATTAGAAGAGGGGGCATCGTGCATCTTCGCCCCTAGTTTTCAGTGGTACTTGCCCAAGTGAAACAGCCAGGTTATTTCCTCTCTGAGAGTTGGGCTCCATGTGCCTGCAGGGGGTTTTCACGTTGAAAAATGCATGTTCCAAGGAAGCTCAAATTGTTGTAGTCTTACATGCACAGTCCCTGCCTGAGGGCTGAGGTGCACTTGTGACTTTCTTTTTCACTTGTGGTTTTTAAGGTTTTCTTCCAATGTTGGGGGTTTGTTCTTTGCTTGTGGGATTTGCCCCCAGTTACTTCACAGTGGGAAGTTGGGGGAGTTAGCACTGTAGTGCAAAAAGCCTAAAAATAAAACAAAAACAAAAAAAAAAAAAAAAACAGTCGGGAGGAAGGTGTTTACTCACAGGTTGCTCAGACAGGGATGTACACCAGTCTTCCACCTTGACAAATGGTACCCAGCCTTTACAGCTCCTCCTCTTGTGTGCACACATTGCTGTCTGTTTCCAAAGCAGTCTCTGGTAGACAAGGAATGAAGGTGGCTTGGCTTGGTTGTGAGGACTTGATTTTATTTTTTCCTTTTTTTCCTTTTTCTTCCTGCCATGAAGTAAGGTGGAGGTGAATGGCAGGTCAAGCATGGTGAAGAAGAAACAGTGAGAAACGGGGTGCTTTCTGTTAGAGGAGCTGCGTCTCTTTTGCTCGTGGTCACCTGTGCAGCGTTTTGGCGAGAGCTCTGGGGAGCTTTAGCAGTTCCCACTGTCAGGAGCAGAGGGACTTTTGCCTGCTTTGGATTGTCTGTACTCCTCCTGGGCTGAGTAATCATCAGCCTCGCAGTGAAAGCTGTGTCAGTTGAGGAGGAACCCAGGGGATGCTCCAGCTGGACCCACCGGTTCTGCGTGTCACTTCTTAAGTGTGAACGGAGAATAAATGTTGTTGGTGTGGCTGGGGCGGCTCTCAGATCATAAGAACAAGTTGAGTTGTGCCCTAGAAGGAAAGGGATCTCTGTGGCTGTGGGGAGACCTGTTGGTTTCCACAGCACTCCTGCAGCTGATGTTGGTGCTGGGTTTGTTGGTCGGCTGCAGCTCTTCCAGAAGTGCTGTGGGCCTTACTTGCTGGAGGTTCTCTCCTCACCCTGCGTCCTGCCTCTCCTTGGTCTATAGTAACTGTTCCTCTGCAGGGCGGCAGCTGTAGGTTGTGTCCTGTGTGTCCTGGCTCTAGCCATCTTGCCAAGCCAAGAGTGGGCAGGAGGCAGGATTTTTGCTTTGCTTGGGCTTGGTTTCTTTCCCCGTGAGTGCGGTCCCTTGGTTGTTGTCCCCTAGTATGCAGGGCTGAAAAGAGCTCTGCTGCCTTCTGTCCCTTGTCCCAGTAGGTTTGATTGGAAGCAGAGAGAACATGGCGGTAACTAGCTGTGCTGTCTGCCCGGCCTCTGTCCCTGTAGGTATCTGTGAGGGGGTGCTCTGGCTGGTTTCTTCTTTCCTTTTCCGTTAAGAACGCACAGCAGAATCTCCCGTGCCTTCTCCGAGCACTGCCTGCAGCACCGCCTGCCACGCGAGGGCCCACTACTTTGCCAAGAAATAAGTGTTCCTTAATGACAACAGCAAAAACCAAGTGTCTTTGTTTTGTTTCCAGCCCAGCGCTGAGCCATCCCTTCCTTGGGGTGGAAGCAGGGAAGGACCCAGGCGCCGAGGCCAGGCCCTGCTGCCCTGCCCAGCGCCGCCAAGGGGGGCGTGAAGGCTGGGCTCAGTTCACTGCCAGCAGCGAGGAGAAATTGCCACCACTGCCCATCTCAGTTGCAAATTCAGTGTTGAGACACCAGCCCTGCCCGTGCAGACAAACCCGTTGCTGTCCTCCCCTTCCTCTGCATGCGAGATGAACAAATGCTGTGGGCAGGAAGGCGCAGCGTGCTGCTGTGCAGCGGTGTGGGGAAGGGATGCTCGTGGGGTTTGGTTCCGTACTGAAGGTGACATTGCTCGAAAGATCACTTTTTTTTTCTATTTTAAGTGCTTGCAAAAAAAAAAATATATATCTTAGAGGCTTACATAAATATTTATTATATGTGTTGGGGGAGGGAGGGTGCTATTTTTTTTTCTTTCTTTTTCCTTTCTTTTTAATTACCTCAGACCTATTTAAAAACAAACAGGAAAACCAAAAAAAAAAAAAAAAAAAAAAAGACTTAAACCAATGAAAAACAACACAAAGCCAACTCTGGAGGTGCTTAATTCCCTCCCAGAGGCCTGTGACCAGCAGGTTGCCATAGGGGTCTGGTTGTTTGTTAGTTGATACTTTATTGTTGTCCTAGTTTCCATATTAGGAGGGGGGGAGAAATCATTATAGATAAATATTATGCAAAAAAAGAAGTCTAGTTTTCTTTAGATCAGAAACTGATATTTTTACGTCAGCCATATGTATTTTGTTTAAAGTAAAAAAAAAAAAA